GCGTGTCGCATTTCCACGGCGTACTGGTGCCCGAACAATCGCTCAGCCAGGGTGCGGTTGAAGCGTTCCACAATGGCCTGGTCGCGGTGAATGTCAACGCGCCCGCGCCGGATATATGTTTTGTGCTTTTCCATCTCTTTTGTGACAGCGCCCATGAATTCGCGCCCGGGGTCAACCTGCAGCATTTAAGGCCATTTGAGAGGCGAGCGCTTGTAAATCTTCTGAAAGGCTTGGGCAACCTCATCAGAATTTTTCGAAGTCAGGGGTTTGGCCTCTTTGTAGTGGCTGGCCACGTCAACAACGGTCAGCACATATTTGAAAACTTTGCAGCCACGAGGCAGTTCGTCGTGCGGCAGAAAAAGAAGGTCCGCCTGGTGGACCTTGCTGGGTGTGGGAACGTCGAATTTCAGTGGAGGAATTCGCCTCGGCGCAGGGAGGAATATCTGCCAGAGCGCTTGCCTGATCACCCACTTTTTGCGGTTTCTTCAGGTACCTTGGCGGCTTCGGCTAATTTTTTGATCGCAGCAATACCTTTCAAGTAGCCCCCGGGGTCGTAGTATATCTTTGCGACTTTGGCGTGCATATAAGTAAGGCGTAAAAAAGTTTAAAGGAACCAGAAGGCTGCGTAGCCCAGAGCGAGCACCCCGACGCCTACAAACATGAGTTCACCATTTTTCTGCTGTTCACTTGGCTGATAGAAATCTGAGAACTTGCGCTCTTTGGGGGGTATCATTTGTTCGTCAGGATGCACCTGGTTGTAGAGTTTGAAGGCATAGTCGGTGTTGGTGAAGTTCTGCTTGGCCTGCTCCTTTATTTGCACGTTGGTAGCAATCCAGTCGAGAAGATGGGTGCGGTCGCACATGTATTTGGCGTAAGCCACTTGGTACGCCTCGAGAGCTTTGTCATGGTGCTTTTTTTCTTCAAGTGCAGCTTTGTTGCCCCCTCCAAGCGCCCTCGCCAGATAATTGCCACCGATAAACGCCGTGGCGTTCAATACACCCCCACCAACCATAATCGCGATGCTCGCCATGGTGCTATATTGCAGAGTCTTTTTTTACATCATTAATTTCAGATGCTGGTGGGAAGGAGTTTTTGGTCCTCGAGGTACTGTTTGAGCGCAATGCTGCCAGCCATGACAACCGTGAACTTCACGTAATTCATCGCTCTGGTGCTGGGATCAGAAGTAAAATTCTCTTTCACAACCTTTTTTGCGGCCCAGCCGATGCCAGCGGCTAAGCCAGTGAGAGTAGCGGCGTCGATGATGGTCTTAACAAGCTTGTTGTCGGACGTGGTGTGTTTGATATAAGTAAAGAACGAAACTTTAAAACAAAATTAATCTGTCTTCCCTGCAGCTTTTTCTTCTTCTTCTATTCTTTTCATTTCTTCTTCTATTCTTCTTTCTTCTTCTTCTTCTATTCTTCTTCTAGTTTCTTCTTCTATTCTCCTTCTTTTTCTTCTTTCTTCTAAGGCCTTATCAATAAATGGTACTCTCAAAAGAGCGTAGACTGTTTGAAAAACCTTTTTGTTGATATCGTTCCATACCAGCACGATACCAAAAACTGCAGCTGAAGAGATGAGAATCTGCGGAAAGTCAACTTTCAGCATCGTGATATACATTACACTCAAAAGTTTAAATCTTTTTCTTTAAAACCTTTTGGCTGTGTCACGCGAGCAGGTTCTGGCTCAACACGCGCAGGTTCAGGCGCGGGCTCCGGCGTTTTTGTGTCGAATGCGGCCTTGGCCATACCCTTGAGCTCTTCACATTTGTAATAAATCCCGACCAGTGAAACGGCTATGCTGGCAACAGCAAGCCAT